AAAATATAAAAAGAGTCCCCAATGGTCCCTAAATTATGATAAAGGGGACAATATTTCAAGAAGAAATAACACTCATTAACATATACTCACCAAAGGAAGGAGCACCAAAATATATCAGACAACTGTTGTCATCTCTGAAAACAGACATCAGAGAAAACACATATATAGTGGGAGACTTCAACACACCACTATCAACAATGGATAGATCAACAAGACAAAAAATAAGTAAAGAAACTAAAGCTCTAAATAAGGACCTAGAGCATTTGGGCTTAACAGACATCTATAGAACACTAACCCCCCAAAAAACGGAGTACACATTTTTCTCAAGTGCACACGGATCATTCTCCAGGATCGATCACATACTGGGGCTCAAGACAAACATCAACAGATACACCAAGATTGAAATCATACCAACCATCATCTCTGACCATGAAGGCATCAAACTAGAAATAAACCATAAAAAGAAGGCAAGGAACTCTCCTGCCTCATGGAGATTGAAAACCACACAATTGGAAGACCACTGGACTAATGAGGAGATCAAAGAAGAAATTAAAAAATTATTTGAATTGAATGACAAGGAGGACACCAATTTCCTAAATGTAAGGGATGCAGCAAAGCAGTAATAAGAGGAAAATATATAGCAATACAGGCTCACATCAAGAAACAAGAAAGAACTCAAAGAAAAAGCCTAATCTCCAATCTCAAAGATCTAGAAAAAGAGCAACCCAAAAAAAAAAAATACAGTAGAAGAAAAGAAATAATAAAAACCAAAGCAGAAATAAATGAAATCGAAACTAAAAAAACAATCCAAAAGATCAATGAAGCTGTTATAGAGCAACCCCGATATTAAACGGGTTCCTGGCTGTGGGTCCTCACCTGCGCGCTTTAAAGGGACTTATGAATACTCTACTACAGACACACACAAAAGGGTTAATAAAAGGTTTATTTACAAGAGAAAAGGAAATAAGGAAAATGTACAACTCAGGGAGAAAATAGGGAAATGAAGTCTTTAATGCGTCCTACCCGATCCGACGACCTGGAAACCCAAAGTCACTCTCAGAGCTGGCCGGACGCTGGGAGCTGGTGGAGAGCCAAAATGCGGGATCCCCAAAGCCCACGTGTCTGCCTTTTGTATCCACCTGGCTGCTTAACCCCACCCTCAGGTCCCAGCCACCTTCCCTTTGGTGGTGATGGTATTTGGAGTTCCCAGTGTCTTTGGCTTTGACCTGGGATGGGGGTGGAGTCCACAAAGCCTATATGGAATTTGCTTTGGGACATCCTTTTCCCCCTAACAAAACCAAGAGCTGGTTCTTCAAAAAAATAAATAAAGGGCCTCCCTGGTGGCGCAGTGGTTGAGCACTGGGTTGCCAAGCTGCCTGCAGCCTCTGCAGCGCCGGTTCGATCCCCGGCTGCCAGGCAAGGGTCCCACATGGTGCGCAGAACTCTCCTGCCGCCTGCTGCTCCCCTCAGCAGTGTATTTCATCAGTCTGCCTGTTCTGCTCCCTGCTCTGGCTCTGGTGAATTCTCTCACCCTCCCACACTTCTGACTGTACCCAGTGCTTGTATAAATAAATAAATAAATCTTTAAAAAATAAATAAATAAATAAATAAATAAATAAATAAATAAATAAATAAAATAGACAAACCCCTAGCCAGGCTCACAAAGGAAAAAAGGGAGAAAGCACAAATAAACAGGATCATAAATGAAACAGGAGAAATCACAACGGACACAGCAGAAATCAAAAGAAAAATCAGTAACTACTATGAACAGTTATATGGAAACAAGTTCAACAATCTAGAGGAGATGGACAAATTCCTACAACTCTACAATCACCCAAAGCTAGATAAAGAAGAAATAGAACACCTAAATAGACCAATTACAAGCTGTGAAATTGAAATAGTAATCAAAAACCTCCCCAAAAACAAAAGCCCAGGACCAGATTGATTTACAAATGAATTCTACCAAACATTCAGAAAAGAATTAGTGCCTATCCTTCACAAACTCTTCCAAAAATTTGAGAAGGAAGGGACAACACCAAGCACGTTCTATGAAGCCAACATTACACTAATACCAAAACTGAACAAGGACAACACAAAAAAGGAAATTGTATGGGGAATATAAAAAATAAAATTTAAATAAAAAAGATAAATACAGGATGATTTCAGTAATATGTAGAAAATAGACCAAAAAAAAAAAAAAGTCAGACAAACACAATCTTGGAATCTGACTATAGATCTGGAGCATTCAGGAGGGGTGATGGAGAAGATGGGGTGAAAAAAGCTTGGGGGAGAGCACATTGAACTATGAGTCAGGCTCCCAGAAAGGGGACATGTTATGGCTGGAGTAGAGGAGACAGCGGGTCTAATGGAATATTCCTGGGGCTTGACGGCAGTATGGTGAAATAGCATAGAGTTGTTGAGGGGTACACCTATACCCGTAAGACCTACACTGTGGTGTAAGTCAACTTCACTCAATAAATCTAATTCATAATAAATAAATGTGGTGAAAAAAACCTGACATTTATGTGGCATTAAGATGAAAAAAGTAATTCATCCTTTAAATGTTATCCACTATATACTACTGTACTGTTTTAATTTATAAACCAGAGACATTCTGCAGGGGAGGAGGAAGGTAAAAGATCAAAACAGTGGTGGGAAGTATACAAGTGACTATGGTGATGGGACATGGGTGAATTTGTGTTGGGAATTCCACAGGGACTACACCTGAGAGGAGAAAGCATACATTGTACAAGAACAAAGTAAAATATATATAAAATTAAAAACACTTATATTTTTGTGTTAAACTTTTGTATTCTTTTAATTATATCTTAATTCATAAATTCTTCCTTTTTGTTTCTATCCTTTCAACTTTCTCTCAATATTTCCTTTCAGTATGAGATTATATGAGTCTGTTCTGTACATATATCTGTGTATGTTTATAAAAATAAAATTATGTGCAAAATAATATACACATATACATAGAAAATACTTTAAATATTTAATTTTGTTTTCAGCAAAATATGTCCACAAATTTCATTTCTGTGTCACAACAATCATCTAAAATGGTATTTCCTAATTCACATTTCTCTTCAGAAATAAGAAAATTGAGGCTCTGGGAGAATACATTTTTCAAAGTTCCCCAAATGCCATTAAATCTTATGGTACACTTTCTTTATTTCAGCACCAATGGAAACATACAACATGTACTGTAGCTTTGTATGGCTCTTTCTATTCATCAAAAACTACATTTTAAATATGTACAAATTATATTATTCTGTTTACTCTAATAAATTACTTAAAAGGAAAAAGTTTTACTTAAAAAGAAAAAGTTTTAAATGCCTGGGTGAGAGTATGATACAGACAATTGACTGATTTAAAGTGAAGAGAGGTGAGAGCTATCACTTCTACTTTAGAACAAAGGAAAATATAAGATATGAAATATGAATCACAAAAAATAAATGAAAGAAACTCACATTTGAAACTCTTTTTCTTCAAATATAGAAGATGAGAGTAGATACATAAAAATGGTGAAATGAGCATATATTCCTGGGAGAGACCCCCTGGCACAGGCACCACCATGAAGGAGTCTCAGAAGCACAATGTAGTGACTCAAGCTGCCTATGGATCCCTGCAGAGCCCAGCTGGATCACAGCGGCTCATCGCACACTCTTCCTGGTCCTCAAGGTCTTATATTAACTCACTTAGATGTAGGATGGTCTGTCAGTAGCAGCTAACTGATACTACAGTGAAGGTGAATAGAATTGAGGAGAGTTATTAATATAATAATATGCACTAGTTTAGGTTTTACTTGGCATTCATTATTATACTTAATTCATACAACTGTATTTAAAAATTCTATGCAGTTAATTCCAGGTAATTAGGAGAGGTGGTGTTTTTTAGTAGCAAAACTAGTGAACCTAAATCCATCACTAGACAGGAATATAAGTTCTCTCATGCCATTCTTTCATCATAAAAGGTGACAGAATCCCATGTGTAATGGAAATATATAAATTATGAGGATATCATAGCATTAACTCAACATCCTTTTCCTTATGAAAAAAAATGAAAAGGGCAGTTGTTTCCTTTAGAGCTAAGAAAACAGTCCCAGCTTTAGAAGCATCAAATGATTGTGAGCAGAGAGTGACAACTGAATAAGATTTTTTTTCAATTCCAATCACTAAAACCCCCTTACACCCAAATATGAATCCTCCATATTTGAAGATGTAGATGTGCTGCATGAAACACAAAGATCTGCATTGTAATATAATATGTGATTTAATTTTTCCCACCATGTTGAAAATTATCTGTTATTCTATGATCATATTAGGTTATTATATTTATTAAAATGAGTCTTGGTGAAGACTCAAATGTGTAATAATCATGTTGACTTGGGCAAAGGAGGGCCTTGCATGCACTGAGCTGAAGGAGAACAGGATTCTAAAGAGGAGAATAAAACCTAGTGTGAATGGAGCCCACTGTATGTTAACATCTTTGTTGTCAGGAGAGTGGTTAATGTAGTGACCACAAAAGGATGACACATTCAAAATTGAAAAGCTTTCTTATCTTATTTCCTCTGTTATCTCTGTTATAAACTTACGTAAGTTTCTTTGGCCAGAAAGCATAGTTTTTTGCCTTAGAAGTAGTAGAACCTGATGACTTTTAACTACAACAAACAAAGTACCTCATATGCTAAATGACATTTGTGAAAAATTATTCTGAAAATCCACTTGTCTCTCTTATCTACAATTTTCTGATTTAAGTTTGGAACAATTTTGGTAAAGTTGGAAAACCAAAGAGGAAAAAGCTGTTAGATCAGAAAGAACAAAAAGTTCAATAGAGTGAGTTATGTAATTGAATAGAGAAATTGAGGTACAAGAAGAAATTCTATGATAAAGAGTAAAATAAAAGAGCAAGCTCTCCTTTCTAGTTTGCTCAATTAAGACCAATTTCTAGTAGTCTCTATTTCTAAAATTATGGGTGCATCCTTCGCCTTGGGAAAATTATCTTTTTCCAGTTTTCTTTAAAATGAATGTTCTCAGAGCCTCCTTTATGTCTTTGTTCCTCAGGCTGTAGATGAAGGGGTTCAGCATGGGTGTGACCACAGTGTACATCACAGAAGCTATAGCATTTGAGCATGAGCTTTGGAGGGCAGCAGAGCTAAGGTACATCCCAAGGCTTGTACAATAAAATAAAGAGACAACTGAGAGGTGAGATGCACAGGTGGAAAATGCTTTATACTTGCCCTGAGCTGATGAGATTCTGCGGATGGAGGAAACTATCTTAGAGTAAGAGTAAATGATACCAAAGAGTGAACCACCACCCAGTAAGACAGATCCCAAATATATCGCCATGTTATTGAGCAAAGTGTCAGAACAGGCCAGTTTGATCACCTGATTGAGTTCACAGAAAAAGTGTGGGATTTCCAAATCTGTACAGAAGGACAGCCGTAACAACATTAAGCTTTGTATTAAGGAATACAGAACACTGACAATCCAGATCACCAGAACCAATAGTCCACACAGCCGGGGATTCATGATGACCATGTAGTGCAGGGGGTGGCAGATGGCCACAAAGCGGTCATAGGACATGACGGTCAGGAGGAAGACATCCAGCCCTCCAAACAGTATGAAAAAATACACCTGGGTGATGCAACCTTCATAGGTTATGGCTTTGCTCTGTGTCTGGAGGTTCACCAGCATCTTGGGGATGGTGGTGGAGGTGAGACAAATGTCAGCAAAGGACAGGTTGGAGAGGAAGAAGTACATGGGCGTCTGGAGGCGGGAGACAGAGCTGACAGTCAGGATGATGAGCAGGTTTCCAAACACAGTGATCAGGTACATGGTGAGGAAAATCCCTAATATGAGGGGTTGGAGTTCTGCTGCCTCTGAAAATCTCAGCAGGAGAAATTCTGAAACTTGTGTATCATTGATTGATTTCATGTAGTGCAGGTGACTTGCAGGAAAAAGGGAAATAACAAGATTTATTTTTATAAACTTTTGTTATAAACCTACCTGATATGCCTCCATTTATATGTTTATAAGAAGTTAATTATAATGCTTTGTGTGTGATTTCCTCTAGGGGATACTCAGTGACACCTCTGATATAGAATTTTTGTCCCAATCAATTTTTTTTCCTGTGGATTATGTGTTATACAGGTTTACCAATAAGTTGTTTTATTTCAAGACTGTAAATTGAATCCTGACTATGCCTTAGGCACACTCTAGGCAAGGAGTTTAGGGCATTGTATCACAATATTCCAATTCAATGGTAGAGAAAGAATGTATAAGCAAGCAATAAAATTATACATTTTAGAGGGGGACAGTTGGGGAGATATAAAGGAAACCAAGTACAAAAAGGAGAGTGAAGAGGGCTTTAGGTTTTCTTGGGTTTTAGATAAGACCTGTATAAGTGCTACATTTGAACTAAAACCTCAAGTAGGAGAGGGAAGTGGTATGGGAGGATATGTGGTGAAGTGTTTGCCAAGCAAAGGGAACAGCCAGCACCCAGTCCCTAAGAAGATACCTGATTCAAGTAAAAATGTGAAGCCATCTGTAGAGATAAAAATCTAACAATAAAACTTAAAGCCATATTACTAAATGGGGGAAGAGAAGCAGAACGAGGAGGAGAGATGGGAGAAGAGGAAGAAGAGGGTTGGTAGAAGTGGAGCAGAGGGAGGGAGTAGAGATTAAGTGAATAAAGAGAAAAAAGATTTAATAATCAAGGTGATTGCTGAGAGACTGGGCTTGAATGTACTTCTCTACCTAGATTATACTTCATGATACCCAAAAGAAATAAAAAACAATAAAAACAAACTTTTGTCAAATAATTAACAGTGATACTTTTATAATATATTTGAGATAAATACACCCAAGAAAAAATAGACCAGTTTCTGCATGTCAGCATGAGTGACATTTGGGCAGGTCTTTCTCTATGATGAAGTCTGTCCTCCACCCTGCCCCTCACTGTGAGCATGAAATGTCTGTGGAAAGTGTTCAGTGTCTCTGGGGGACAAAATTGCCCACTTAGAACCGTGCTTTGAAGTTAATCTTCACATATTGTCTGAGTATTCTTAATAGCAATTTACTGATAATAGTAATTTAATGTTATAAAAGTGATCAACATGTATTTCACACTGTGAAATATTACACAGCCATTGAAATAAATACATTCAGAATTTCATCAAGCAAATGAGCAAGCACAGGGATCTCTTGCCTTTGGGTAAAGGTAAATCCCCTCTAAGATAACAGCAGGTAAGTGTTCTTGGCCTCAATTCTGTCTCCTGAGAGTCAACTGGGTTGCTGGGCTCACCTGCACCAGGTCTCTGGGAGGGTCTCGAGTGGAGATCTGAATTCCTTATCAGGTGGAAGCGACAGAGACCTGAGCTCGGAACCCAGACAAGACAGAAGGGAGGTGTGAATCATCTGTACCCTATGCAGGAATAGGACTCCATACAAACACACACAAAACAAAAGCGTTCCCTTTCCAGTACAAGTTTATATATGCCCTCTTGTTGGCCAATGTGTTTACAACTCTCTCTGCTCATTAGTCACATTTTCTCTTGTTACTCCAACCTCTCTGCACACAATTCCCCTGTGGAAAACTTTCTGGACAGCAATGGAAGTTTTCCCTGTTCCCCAGAGTTCAGGTTAGAATGCAAATTAATTCCATATTTCCACTCATTGTGAACTTGATTCCTTTTAAGTCTCTAAACTTCTTAGTGCATTTTCAGATTTCTAAGTTAAAATTTTCTAACCAAGTCAAAGACTTAGGAATGGATCTGGATTAGGTCCCTCATGTCTTCAAAGCTTTGACTTGTATGGGAACAAAAGTCCTGGTATCCAGACAGTTGCTGTCATCCTTCACAGCAGGGAATCAAGCTGACTTCTTGAACATGGCACTGAACTCATAAACTTCATGACCCTTTGCTAAAATGATGAGAAGCTTTTTACTTCTGTTGTATTAATAGTTGTAATTTAATCCCTCTGGATATTGTTCATCAAATTTATATTATATAGGTTGTTTTATTCATGCTAATCTGACTTTAGAATTATATAGGGAATCTGTGAATTTTTTAAGAACATCCGTTCCATGAGGAAGTACATTTATGAACTCTATTCTCAATAGCAGACTGGGTTTGTGGTGGGGTTTAGTTACCTACCCAAAGTTAAATCCATCAAAGTGAATGCCCTTAATTGAACTATGTGAGGCTATGTCCAGTACTTAATTTCTGGGTGTTAATTCTCAACCTAAAATGAGTTTTCCCCTTGGGAATATTTGATAGTGTCTGATGGGCTGTTGCTGACACCTACAAACCATAACCTAGTGACTCCCATGACCCCAAATAATTTTATCCTGCCGTAATTCTCAATAGTGAGAAGGTAAGAAAACCCATTTAGATCAGCGCTTCCTTTCTTTTGTTACAGGGAAGGTTGAGGGGCACCCCGAGACCCCAAATCTGCCTGCTCTAAATAGGTTCAGCCACCCACGGCATTACAACAAAATATACTCTAGTGTGTAAGACATTTAATGGAAAGGGACTTTAATATAATTAGTGTGAGATGGAGAGAAGAAAAGGCAAAGAATATAGTTTCCAAATGTGGCACTGAAAGTTAGCCATCCTCTTGTTGGAAAATGCCCAACCAAACAGGTTTGGCCGAAAGCAAGGCCACTGAGTCCCAAAACCTTCCTACAAACCTAAAGCAACTTCTGTTCATGACACAGGAAAGGTGAGAAGGGGACAGGCAATTGTGGGATAAAAGGAGCAAAATGAAATCAAGAGGAAGGTTGCCATGGTCAGAACCTCCAGGGGTCTCTCACCCATGTTGTTCTAATTGTCTCCATTCATGTCCCTCAAGTTCCTGACCCCAGTCCAAGGCAGAGAAGCAAGCACAGCTTCTTCCCAAGTCTCTCTCCATTATCACTCTAAAAGCTGTGTCCATTACATGGGAAGTATTCATTTCCATGACACCATCAATTTTATTCAACTTTCTCCTTATATATCAGTAGCACAATGTGACATAAGAACACATTCACCATTCTAGACTTGTCCAGAATTTCAGAATCTATATCTGTGTCTATGATATGCCTGCATTATTCTTTCTAATAATTCTGAAGGATCTTCATTGGCCCTTTATTGAATAGCATGACCTTAATGAAAATTGTATGTTTTGGGATCCCCTGCCACCCTGTTATACTACAAATGCAAAATCTGCTTCCTCAGGTCCTGCGAGCCAGAGAACCTGACATCTCTAGTATTCTAGATTTTCTATCAAGCGTGATGTTAGTGCTGCAGGTCCTGTCTGTGGACTGCTCTTTGAGTAGTAAAGATACTGGAACTGGCCACCTCAGTGGCAGGAGCCAGAAACACCAGTGCTGTTCTCTCTCCTGCTGCTCCACCACAGCCAGCTGTGGCTGTGGATCCTGAGAGTCCAGCAACTGCACTTTTATGCCTATTTTCCGCATCATGGAGGAGACCAATCAGTGTTAGATAGTATCTGATTGGTGCAAAATGGTCCAATCACTCACAGGTTTGAAAAATGATCCAATTGGTCTTGTGGATATAAGCCTCAGTTGGCGGGAGCTGAGAAACAGATAGTTTCAGCCTCCAAAGAAGGAAGGGGAGGACTCTGCTCCTTCCTCTAAAGAAAGAACAAAAACTAGAAGTTGAAAAAAAGGAGCATACAGCAGCCAACCTCAAGGAGGGAATGGAAGTCAAAGACCTCTGTCACAGCCAGGGTTTCCAATCCTGCTACTCCATCACCTGCTACTCCAAAACCCTCTTCCTGCTGTCTCAAAGAGTTGTTTGTTGTTGGTGTAGCCCAACAACTCACCGTTAACACTTGATATCTCTGACACAGCCTCTGGAGGACCAGTTGACCATCACTATTAGCCAGTGCTGTCCAGCACTGCTGGTGACCTGTGGTGACCATCACTATTGGTCGATGTTATCTAACACTGTTGGCAGGTGTCCAGTGCTATGCTTTTAATTCTGGTGGATTCTACCTGACAGAAGCAGACACTTGTGACTACAGCAAGGTCTTTGCCCTTTTTGTAATATAAACCCCATGGCTGTTGTTCCTAGAGCCTGAGGTCTCTTGCAATTGTATGCACTGATGAGAACCCACAAACAGTGACCCATCATCTTATTGGGCACTGTCCTTTGATCGTCTATAGCTCATATTGTATGGGTATGGTATTACCATAGTCCTTGGTTTTGGATTTTGACTCTAGGCCTTTTGGAGTTTTTTGACAGTTCTCATGTCTTAGAACTTAGGCAGGTGGATAGCATTCTGTCCTATCCCATCCTCTTGTCCTCTGCACCCCTGAATATTTACCCTGCTATAAATCTTAGGAGGTGGTGCTTCACCTTTTAGTGGAACATATTATTTCATGCTGCAAGGCATGTTCTAGGGGTCCGGGACAACATTAGCCAGTAGTGATGGTCACCACCAGTCACCAGGAGCTGGACAACAATGGCCAGTAGTGATGGTCATTACTGGTCCCCCAGAAGTAGTGCCAGAGACACCAAGTGTTAACTGCTTTTTGTGAATTGCTGGTCTATGCCAACAACAAACAACTCTTTGAGACACCAGGCCCAGGGCCTTTGATGCTCCTTTCAGGTGATGGAGAGAAAGGATCAGAGGCTCAGTGTCTGACAGAGGTCTATGGCTTCTCTTTCCTCCTTCGAGGTCGACTTTCAAAGAAGCCAGATGCTTCTTTTCTTCTTTCAGCTTCTGGTCCTCATTCGTTCAGAGGCTGCAATAGAATCCCTCCACTCCCTCAGACCCAAACTTATATCCACTTCCAAGGTGCCCCACCCATAATTCTAATGGATTGTTTTTTCAATCCTATGGCTGATTGGATCATTTTGCACTAATCAGATAATGGTTCACACATGATTGGTCCAGTCCAGTATCCAAGAAGTACACATAAAAGTGTGGTTGCTGGGCTCTGAGGAGCCACAGCCACAACTGGCTTGTGGCACAGCAGCAGGAGAGAGAACATCACTGCTGTTCCTGGCTCCTGCCACTGAGGCGGCTCAGTTCTGGTATGTTTACTACTCAAAGAACAGTCCACAGACCAGGACCTGAAGCACTAAGATTACCCGGGAGCTTGTTAGAGAAACTAGAATGCTAGAGATATCAGGTTCCCTGGCTAGCCAGGCCTGATGAAGAAGATTTTGCATTTGTAGTATAACAGGGTGACAGGGATCCCAAAACATAAAATTCTCATTAAGGTCATGGAGATTCTACAAAGGGACAACAAAGATCCTTCAGGATTATTAGAAAGAATAATACAAACATATCGCTGTCACACATCCTGAAGCTCTGGAGAATTTAATTTGTTCTTATGTCACAACGTGCTCCTGATATAAGGAGAAATATGTATTGCAGGTGTTATGCAGCAGCCCAGCAGCCCATCAAATGTCCCCAACGGGAAAATTCATTTCTGGTTGAGAACTAACACCCAAAGTTTTAATACTGCACGTATACTCACATAACTGGAATTAAGGGCATTCACTTAGATGTATTTAACTTTGGGCAGATGACTAAACCCCACCAAGAACCTTGTCTGCAATAGAGGATAGAATTCATAAATGTACTTCCTCATGACAAGGATGTTCTTAAAAAATTCAATCACAGACACCCTATATAATTCTAAAGTCAGGTTAGAGTGGATAAGACAACCTACATAATATATATTTTATAAACACTATAAAGAGGGATTAAATTACAGCTATTTATGTGACAGAAGTAAAAAGCTTCTCATCATTTTAACAAAGGGTCATGAAGATATGAGTTCAGTGCCATGTTCTATTATCACGAGAAGTCAGCTTGATTCCCTGCTGCGAAGGATGACAGCAACCATCTGAATACCACAGTTATGTTCCTAGCACAAGCCAAAGATTTGAAGACACGAAGGCACTAATTCACACCATTCCCCAGTCATTGACTTGGTTAGAAAAGTTTAACTCTGATATCAGATAATGCAGTAGAAATTTAGAGATCTGAAAAGGAGGCAATTACATAGAGGAGGGAAAAAATGTAAATAGACTAAACACTTCAATAAAAAGACACAGAGTTGCAGCCTGGATTAAGAAACAAAACCCAAGCTTTTGCTGTCTCCAGTGAACACATTTAACTGAAAAGATAAAAAAAAACTAAAAATATAAAAATAGACTGAAAGTAAAATGATGGAAAACAATACTACAAGCATATGGACCAAAAAAGAAGGCAGGAACAGCTATATTTATATCAGATAAAACATATATCAAACTCAAAAAGGTAAAAAGAGACCCCAGTGGTCACTACATTATGATCAAAGGGACAATATTTCAAGAAGAAATAACACTCATTAACATATACTCATCCAATGAAGGAGCACCAAAATATATCAGACAACTATTATCATCTCTGAAAACAGACATCAGAGAAAACATATATGTAGTAGCAGACTTCAACACACCACTATACACAGAAACATCCATTCCAAAGAACACCTGCACCCCTATGTTTATAGCAGCACTATTTACAATAGCTAAGCTTTGGAAACAACCCAAATGCCCAAAAATAGATGACTGGATCAAGAAGATGTGGTACATATATACCATTATTATATGTACTCAGCATTCAAAATTGAAAGGAGAATATAAAAAAAGATAAACACATGCAATTTGCAGCAACATGGATGGCGCTGGAAGGGATCATGCTCAGCGAAATAAGCCAAAAAGAAAAAGAAAAATACCGGATGGTCTCACTCATAGCAGGAATCTAGAAAACTTAAATAAGGGATCAGGAAAATGAATAACTATAAGAAAGTGAAAATCAAAATCAACAAAAAACTATGAACCAGAGACACTTTTTGGGGGGTGGGGGCCGGGAGGGGAGGGATTGGGGTCAGAATGGGGCATGTGCAGTTGTATGGGGGAATATAAAAATAAAATTTATTATTAAAAAAAAAACACACCACTATCAATGATAGATAGATCAAAGAGACAAAAAATAAAAAGGACACTAAAGCTCTAAGTAAGGATCTAGAGCTCATGAGCTTAACAGACATCTATAGAACACTAAACCCAAAAAAATCTGAGTACACATTTTTCTCAAGCACACACGGATCATTCTCCAGGATCGATCACATACTGGGACACAAGAAAAATATCGACAGATACACCAAGAAGAAATTAAAAAATACTTCAAGTCGAATGACAAGAGGATATCAATTTCCTAAATGGAATTAATTTGATTTCTAATCTGACCTCTTGGGAACATGGAAAGCTTCCATTGCTGTCCAGAAAATTTCCACAGGGGAATTGTGTGCATGGAGGTTGGAGTAAACAAAATGAAATGTGACTAATGAGCAGGTAGAGAGAGAGCGACTCTGGCATATATAACCTTGCATTGGAAGAGGCATGCTTCTGTTGCGTATGTGTTTATGTGGAGTCCTATTCCTGTTCAGGTACCGATGGTTCACTCCTCCGTGCTGTGTCTTCTGGATATAGAGCTCAGGTCTCTATCACAGCCATCCAATAAGGAATTCAGGTCTCCACACAAGACCTTCTCAGAGATCTGGTCCAGGTGAACCCATCAACCCAGTTGACCCTCAGGAGAGAGAAATGAGGCCAAGAACACTTACTTGTTGTCGTCTGAGAGGGGATTTACCTTTACCCAAAGGCAAGAGGTCCCTGCATGTGTTTGCTTGATTAAATACTGAATGTATTTATTTCAATGGCTGTGTAATGCTTCACAGTGTGAAATACTCACAGTGGTGATCTTATTTTATATCATTAAATTGTATTATCTTGAAATTGTTATAACAATAGTCAGAAAACACCTTGAGATTAAGTTCAAACTGTAGTTCTAAGTGGGCAACTTTGTCCCCCGGGGACAGTAAGCAATGTTCACAGACATTTCAGGCTCACAATGAGGGGCAAGAGGAGGCCAGGATGCGCCAAACATCTTTCAATGCACAGGACAGACTTCACCACAGAGAATGTCCTGCCCAAATGTCACTCATGCTGATGCACAGAAACATTTTCTCCTGGTTGTTCAATATGTAAGGTATTTATCCCAAATAGATTTAGAAAAATCACTATTTCTTGACAATAGTTTGCTTTTATTCTTTATCATTTTTCAATATCAGAAAGTATAATCATGGTTGAGAAGCTCACCAAGCCCGGTCAGAGGAATCACCTAGATTATTAAACCTTTTTTCGTATTTATTCACTTAATTTCTTTCTCTTCCCTTCTCCTTTCCTTCTTTCTTCCTCTTTTCCCTCTTCATTCTCCCCTTTATCCTACTCCTCCTTCTTCTCTCCACCCCCAATTCAGTAGTATGTCTTTTTGTTTTATTGATAGGTTCATTTACTAAGCAGATGGCTTCACATGTTTTACTTGGATACTTGAAAGAAGCATCTTCTTCTGGAAGTGTGCACAGGTTGATCCCTCTTCTGGGCACACACTTCCCCACATAACCTTGTGTCTTCCTTCCCTCTCCTACTTGAATTCTTTGTTCAAATGTGGCACGTCCATGGATCTTTCCTAAATACCCACAAGCAACTAAATCCCCTATTCACTTTCTTTTTCATATTTGGGTTCCTTTTCTTCATACTAACTGTCAACTTTTAAAATGTTATATAATTTTGTGCTTATAAATTCTTTTTCTACCTTTGGATTTGAATTTTGTTTTACTCTTTGCCTGGACAATGCCTAAAGCACAGAGAGCATTCAATTGATATTCCTGAAATAAAAGAATTTAATAGTAAAACTCTATAATACATGATCCCATATGGCAAAAAATTGACTGGGGCAAAAATTCTGTATCAGAGGTGTCACTGAGGATCCCCTAGTGGAAATGAAACACATTATATTATAATTAATTTCTTAAAAATTATAAATGGAAGCATTTCAAGTAGTTTAATAACCTAAGTTTGTGAAAATAAGACTTGTTATTTCCCTTTTTCCTGGAAGTCACCTCCACCATATGAAATCAATGAATGATGCAAGGTTCAGAATTTCTTCTCCTGAGATTTTCAGAAGAAGCAGAATTCCAGCCCCTCATTCTAGGGATTTTCCTCGCCATGTACCTGACGACTGTGTTTGGAAACCTCTTCATCATCCTGGTTGTCAGCTCTGACTCCCACCTTCACATGCCCATGTACTTCTTTCTCTCCAACCTGTCCTTTGCTGACTTCTGTTTCATCTCTACCACCATCCCAAAGATGCTGTTGAACATCCAGACACAAAGCAAAGCCATAACCTATGAAGGTTGCATCACACCTATGTATTTTTTCATACCGTTTGCAGAGTTGGATGTCTTCCTCCTGACCATGAAAGCCTATGACCACTTTGTGGCCTTCTGCCGCCCTCTGCACTACAAGGTCATCATGAATCTCTGGCTGAGTGGGCTACTGGTTCTGGTGATCTGGATCATCAGTGGTCTGTGTCCCTTAATACAAAGCTTAATGTTACGGCTGTCCTTCTGTACAGATTTGGAAATCCCACACTTTTTCTGTGAACTCAATCATGTGATCAAACTGGCCTGTTCTGACACTTTGCTCAATAACATGGTGATATATTTGGGATCTGTCTTACTGGGTGGTGGTTCACTCTTTGGTATCCTTTACTCTTACTCTAAGATAGTTTCCTCCATCCGCAGAATCTCATCAGCTCAGGGCAAGTATAAAGCATTTTCCACCTGTGCATCTCACCTCTCAGTTGTCTCCTTATTTTATTGTACAAGTCTCAGAGTGAACCTTAGCTCTGCTGCTCCCCACAGCTCTCGCTCAAGTGCAATAGCTCTGTGATGTACACTGTGGTCACACCCATGCTGAACCCCTTCATCGACAGTCTGAGGAACAAAGACAGAAAGTCGGCTCTGACAACATTCATTGAAAAGAAAACTGCAAAAAGATAATTGACTTAGGGAGGAAGAAGCACATACTATTTTCGACAATAGAGACTCTTAGTCGGAAATTGGAGTTAATTGATCAAACTAAGTAGAACTTGCTCTTTTATCTTACTCTTTTATCATGGAATTTCCACTTGGACCTCAATTTCTCTATTCAAATTATGTAACTCACTTTATTAAACTTCCTGCTCTTTCTTATTTCTAATAATTTTTCCCAGGTAGGTTTTCCTAGTTGCCAAAAATTAATCCAAACTCAAATCAGAAAATTTTAGATATTTCCATTCACTTAAAGAGATGGCATGGATTTATTAGAATAATTTTTCTCAAATGGATTTATCATACCAAATACTTTTTTAGCTTGTTCATGTTAAAAGTCATTAAGTTTGGCTAATCCTAAGGCAAAAAGCTACATGTGATGACCAAGGAAGCTTATATAATTTTATAACCGAGGATGTGCGATAACAAAGCTTTTCACTTTTGAGTGTGTCATCTTTTTGTGTTCACTACATTAACCACCCTCCTGACAACAAGGATGCTAACATACAGTGGGCTCCATAGGACACTAGGTTTTATTCTCCTTCTTAGAATCCTGTTCTCCTTCAGCTCAGTGCATGTAAAGCCACCCTTAGTCCAAGTCAACATGATTATCACACATTTGAGTCTTCACCAAGACTCATTTTAATAAATATAATGAGTCACACAAAATGTGACCTTAGAATCACAGATAATCATCAATATGACAAGAAAATTAAATCACATATTATATTACATTGCAAAATGTTTCTCTTTAATGCAGTACATCTACTTCTGCAAATATGGAGGATTCACGTCTGTGTGTACAGGGTTAATAGTAATGGGAATTGAAAAAAAATTTTATTCAGTTGTTGCCATGTCTCTGCTCACAATCATTTGATGCTGCTAAAGCTAGGACTGCTTTCTTAGCTCTGAAGGAAACAACTTCCCTTCTAATTTTCTTCATAAGGAAAAGGATAGAGAGTTAATGCTATTATGTCATGATACTTTATATATCTCCATTACACATGGAATTCTATCATATTTTATGAAAAACGGATGACTATGAGAGAACTTAAATTCTTGTCTGGTCATGAAATTACCAGTTTTCCTGCAAAGGAAAACCACCTCTCCTAGTTACCTGGAAATTAACTCCATACAATCTTTTAAATACAGTTTTCTGAATTAAGTATAGCATTGAATGCCAAACAAAACCCAAACTAGTGGAGATTATTATATTAATAATCTTCTCACTTCTATTCACTGTGACTGTAGGATCAGTTAGCTGCTACTGACAGGCTATCCTTCATGTAAGCGAGTTAATATCAGGCCTTGAGGACCAGGAAGAGTGTGCAATGAGCTGATGTGATCCAGCTGGGCTCTGCAGGGATCCACAGGCAGCTTGAGTCTCTATACTGTGCTTCTGAGGCTCGCCCAGGGTGATGCCTGTGCCAGCGGGTCTCTCCCAGGAATTTAGGCGCAATTCACCACATTTGTGTATCTACAGTCATCTTATATTTTTGAAGAAAAAATTAGTATCAAATGTGAATTTCTTTCATTCATTTCTGTGATCCCTATTTCACATCTGATATTTCCCTTTGTTCTCAAGTAGAAATGGTAGATGGTATCTCATTGTGCTTTAAAGTTCTGCATTTCCCTGATGTAAGTGATAATGAACATATTTTCATGTCCATTGGCCATCTGCATGCCTTCTTTCAAGGAATGTCTACTTAAATCATCTATTTTATGATTCGGTTATGTGTTTAGTTACATAAGGTCTTTGAATATCATTAATATCAATCCCTGTCAAATACATGATGTGCAGATATTTTCTCCTATTCAGTAGATTGTCCTTCAGTTTGGTTACTGTTTTTGTTTTTTTGTTTGTTTGTTTGTTTGTTTGTTTTTTTACTCAAAAGAAGGCTTTTAGCTTGATGGAGTCCCAGTTTTTATATTCTCCTTTATTTTCTTTGTTCCCTTAAATGTGTCCTTAAATCTATTTCTAATTTTTGCTGTAGTGGTTTTCCTCTGTTTCTTTTATAAACTTTATGGTTTCATATCTAACATCCATATCTTTCACCCATTTTGAGTTGATTTTCATGTATGGTGTGTGACAATGGTCTAATTTCATTTTTGCATGTGGCAGTTTGATTACCATTTTTGAAGATATTTTATTTGTTCCAGTGTATATACTCACTCCTTTATTGTAGGTTAGTTGCACATCAATGTACGGTTTTATTTCGGACATTCAGTTCTATTCCAGTAGTCTATGTGTCTCTTCTTTTTCCAATACTGCGTTGTTTTAATTATGATATCTTTTTGGTATAGTTTGGATTCCAGAGTGTGAGATCTCCATTGTTACCCTTTTTAATCAGGAGAGCTTTGTCTATTCATGGTTTTTGTGTTTTCATATTAATTTCAGTAATATTTGTTCTATATTTTGAAACATGACATTGAGATTTTTATTGGATTTGTCAAGGATGGACATCTTGACAATGTTGATTCTTCCTATCCATGAAAAAGGAATACTTTCCATTTCTTTGTGCTTTCTTCTATTTTTTTTTAATTTTATATATTTCTTATACCATCTTTCATTTGTTCACAATGTATGCATTTTCATCTTGGTTCTATTTCCCATACAATTGCACTCCCCTTATATTGACCCCAATCCCTCCTCTCCCCTCCCCCCAACCTGCAGTATGTCTCCGGTTTTTAGTTGCTTGTTGACTTTGATTTTTTTCTTTATTATAATTATTCTTTTTCATGGTCCCTTATTTAGGTTTTCTAAATTCCTGCTATGAGTGAGATCATCCTGTATTTTTCTTTTTCTTTCTGGTTTATTTTGCTGAGCATGATCCCTTCCAGAACCATCCATGTTGCTGCAAATTGCATGAGTTTATCTTTTTGGATTGCTGGGTAATATTCCATTGTGTATATATTCCACATCTTTTTTGATCCAGTCATCTATTTTTGGACATTTGAGTTGTTTCCAAAGCTTAGCTACTGTAAATTGTGATGCTATAAACATAGGGATGCAGGTGCCCTTTTGAATTAATGTTTCTGTATCCTTTGGTTAGATACCTAGGAGTGGAATTGCTGGATCATATGGAAGCTCTATCTTTAGTAGGTTGAGGAAGCTCCACACAGCTTTCTATAGTGGTTGGGCCAGTTTGCACTCCCACCAACAGTGCAGGAGAGTTCCTTTTACTCCACAACCTCACCAACATTTGTTGTTGCTAGTTTTTTTTTTTTTTTGATATGTGCCATTCTCACTGGTGTAAGATGGTATCTCATTGTAGTTTTGATGGTATCTCATTTGTAGTTTGATTACACAATGGAATATTACCCAGCAATCCAAAAAGATAAACTCATTGTAGATGGTATCTCATTGTAGTTAAGATGGTATCTTAATCATTTCCCTGATTGCAAGTGATGTTGAACATTTTCTCATATGCCTGTTGGCCATTTGCATTTCCTCTTCGGATAAGTTTCTTTTAACTCTTCTGCCCATTTTTTGACTGGATTATTTTCTTTGATTTTGTTGAGTCTCATCAGCTCTTTGTAGTTTTTTGTGATCAGCCCTTTATCATGAGTGTTGTGTGCAAAAATTTTCTCCAAGTCGGTGGGGTTTCTCTTTGTTTGGTTATTGTCGCTGTTGATCTTTGCCTTCACTATCACTGCTTTGGGTGATGTGTCTGTAAAGATGTCTTTGTGGTGCATGTCATATAGTGTTTCACCTATATTTCCTTCTATATATTTTATGGTTTCAGGTCTTATGTAAGGTTCTTTAATGCATTTTGAGTTGGTTTTTGTGCATGGTGTGAGGTAGTAGTCAAGTTTCATTCTTCTGCATGTAGCAACCCAGTTTTCCCAGCACCATTTATTGAACAAACTTTCTTTGCTCCAGTGTATATACTTTGCTCCTTTGTCAAAGATTAGTTGAGCATAAACCTGTGGGCTTATTTCTGCGTTTTCTATTTGGTTCCAGTGGTCCGTGTGTCTGTTCTGGTTCCAGCACCATGCAGTTTTGATTATTACGGCTTTGTAGTATAGTTTGAAATCTTGGACTGTGATGCCTCCATTCCCTTCTTTTTTTTTCAGGATGGTTTTGGCTATTCGGGATTTTTAGTGGCTGCATATGAATTTGATCAATATTTGCTCTATTTCTTTGAAGAATGACATTGAAATTTTACTGGAATAGCATTGAATCTGTATATTGCTTTTGGTAGGATGGCCATTTTAATAATGTTTATTCTTCCAATCCCTGAGCAGGGGATGTCTTTCCATTTCTTTGTGTCTTCTTCTATTTCTTTTAACAGTGTTTTATAGTTTTCTTTGTATAGGTCCTTTACCTCTTTTGTTAGATTTATGCCCAAATATTTGATTTTTTTTGTTTCAATAATAAAAGGGATGGTTTTTTTGATTTCGTCTTCTTCAGATTTATTGTTTGTGTATAGGAAGGCTACTGACTTTTGCGTGTTGATTTTCTATCCTGCCACTTTACTGAACTGATTGATGAGTAGAATTAGTTTTTCTGTGGAGTTTTTGGGGTTCTCTATGTATATTATCATATCATCTGCAAATAGTGATAGTTTGACTTCTTCTTTTCCTATTTGGATTCCTTGGATGTCTTTCTCTTGTCTTATTGCTCTGGCTAGGACTTCCAGTATTATATTGAAAAGCAGTGGTGAGAGTGGACATCCTTGTCTTCTTCCAGATCTTAATGAAATTGCTTTCAGCTTTTCACCATTGAGAATGATACTGGCTGTTGGCTTGTCATAGATGGCCTTTATGATGTTGAGGTATGTTCCTTGTATCCCAAGAATTTCAAGGGCTTTTATCATGAATGGGTGTTGCACTTTGTTGAAAGCTTTCTCAGCATCT